GTCAAGCCATTCTTTGAATTCACCTGCGCAGAAATTGACACCATATCTTGATAAAAAAATAAAATAGAAAACAATGATTCCACGTTGTTTGACAAATTTGAGTTTCAAACCTTCAGCTTTTTGGTGAGCGTTTCATTGGCAAGGTCCACCAACAGGGCATTTGGCTGATTCACATAAAATGAAGCGCCAGGAAGCTTCAAACAGTAGGCCACGTGGTGACCCAACAGGACCCCTTAAGCAGTTTTGATCAAATGAGACATTCTTGTTGTTGAGCTACTGGCACAGTCATGATGCTGGAGCAGTCATCGATGTTCAGGTCTTTGTCAATCAAAGCTTCATCAGCATATGCAGTCCACGACCTAGGAAAAATCTTTTCTGTTCCAATCTACATATCCCAGAAAAGTAACACCACCAATTAATTCATATCACCTCTTTTGAACAGTTTTGATCTTGGGGTATCCACGATGCTGTGGCCAACTTTGAGTCAATGGGGAGCTCGTACAATGAGCCCTCCATTTCTGCCAGGCTCTTCACTTCTTCGAGGCTTTTGGAACGGATGTCCTACCAATCAGGACAGATGGGACCCAGACCATGGTGGTTCAATTTTTTCCCCTTTTGTTTGGGTAGAGAAACTTGAGATCAAAGGACCTGTAACCTATTATTTGGGGGTGTCCTAGAATAGTGGTACCCCCAAACCATCCACTTCAATTCACTCAAATAAGATTTCCCATTAAATACCATCCATGTTGGGGTTCCCCCATTTTACAGGAAACCACCATGTGGGTGAAAATGATATAATTTCAGTTCAGTCCTCCCGATACTTCTTTCGTGCTGCTGTAGCGGCCGCAGCTTCCTGACATCGGCGGTCACTAGGTATAGTGCAATGCCCACACTGATCACAGTGGATTGTAGTGTGAGCCCAAAAGGCCAAACCAAACCCAGTCCTGCTTTCTTTTCAAAGTTTTCAAGCGCTCCTCCTCCTTCTCCTTTGCTCTTTTGGCCTCCTCTGCCTTCTTCGGTTCTTCTTCCTTCTTCACATCCTCTGCCTTCTTTGCCTCCTCTGCTCTTTGGGTATCCTCTGCCTTCTTCGCATCTTCTGCAGTTGCCTCCTCTTGCTGGCTTGTCTCCTGTGGGCCCTCTTTGCTCTCAGGCGTAGTCTTCTCCTGGACTGGGCATGTCTCATCAGCTTCTTTGCCACTCTCTCCAGCCTCGGTTTCTTTCTTCTCTTTTCGACTTTCATCTTCATTGATTGCATCCTTCTTGCTTTTCTTTCTGCTTTCTTGGCCATCACCTTCACTGTTGCCTGTTGTTCCTGACGAGGCAGTTCTCTTGCAACATCTCTTGCCTCTGCCCTTTCCGCGACCCTTTCCTTTGCGACCTGCGCCTTTGCCTCTTGGTTCTTCCTCATCTTCCATTTGCCTTTCTTCCTCCAGCGCTTTGTCTACAGTTTCAAGGTCTTTATCAACTTCTCCATCCTCGTTGTCATCGCCTTTTCCCTTTGCTTGTCGGTACTCCTTTGTTCTCTTATCGACTTTTGTTTCTGCTTTCCTTTTACTCTTCAATTCTGCCCTCAGCCTTTTCTGTTGGTCCAAGAGGTCGTAGATCATTCGGGTCTTCTCTTCCTCACTTTCTGGAATCTCGATCAGCTCCGGGACAGTGGCAAGCAGTGGCTTGGTGTCGTGGAAAACTCCATTCTCATTATCTTTGTTCCTCTCCTGACCTTTCAGGGATTTATCTTCTACCTCGTCATCCTCCAAAGCTTCCGCTGCCTTTGATCTGTTCAACTCTGCCTTTTTTCCATCATCGTCTCTTTTGGCGTTCTCTGCCTTCTTCTTTGCATCCTCTGCCTTCTTTGCAGCTTCTGCCTTCTTTGCATCCTCTTCTCTTTTGGCCTCCTCTGCCCTCTTTGCAGCTTCTGCCTTCTTCACCTCCTCTGCTCGTTTGGCCTCCTCTTCTCTTTTGGCCTCCTCTGCCCTCTTTGCAGCTTCTGCCTTCTTCACCTCCTCTGCTCGTTTGGCCTCCTCTTCTCTTTTGGCCTCCTCTGCCCTCTTTGCAGCTTCTGCCTTCTTCACCTCCTCTGCTCTTTTGGCATCCTCTTCTGCCTTCTTTGCATCCTCTGCTCGTTTGGCCTCCTCTTCTCTTTTGGTCTCCTCTTCTGCCTTCTTTGCATCCTCTGCCTTCTTCACCTCCTCTGCTCTTTTGGCATCCTCTTCTGCCTTCTTTGCATCCTCTGCTCGTTTGGCTTCCTCTTCTCTTTTGGTCTCCTCTTCTGCCTTCTTTGCATCCTCTGCCTTCTTTGCATCCTCTGCCTTCTTCACCTCCTCCGCTCTTTTGGCATCCTCTTCTGCCTTCTTTGCATCCTCTGCTCGTTTGGCCTCCTCTTCTCTTTTGGTCTCCTCTTCTGCCTTCTTTGCATCCTCTGCCTTCTTTGCATCCTCTGCCTTCTTCACCTCCTCCGCTCTTTTGGCATCCTCTTCTGCCTTCTTTGCATCCTCTGCCTTCTTCATCTCTTCTGCTCTTTTGGCCTCCTCTTCTGCCTTCTTTGCATCCTCTGCCTTCTTCACCTCCTCTGCTCTTTTGGCCTCCTTTGCCTTCATCGCATCTTCATCTTTGTTTGCATCCTTTTTCTGTGCCATTTCTGCTTCTACCTCTACCTCTCCATCATCACTGAACTCCTCCTCCTCTTCTTCTTCCTCAATCACCATGAAGATGTCTTCGGCTTCTCCATCCTTTGCTTCCTCCTCTTCTGCTTTCATTTCTTTGGACTCATTTTCCTTCGCATCTCCTTCGGCTTTATCTTTGGTTTTGTCCTCAGACTTCTGCTCTACTTCAGCCTTATCTTTGTCTTTGCTTTCCTCAGACTTATCTTTTTTCTCGGAGCCTTCTGTGCCTTCACCTTCCTGGCAGGACAAATGAAAGCCAATGATGGCAAGGAGAATCAAAGGGGGAGGGGTGGATGGGTCAACAGGCAAATGTGCCTGCTTCAGTGGGTTGCGGATCGATTTGGTTCTTCTTTGTATGCCATTCTCCTAGTACAGGGGCTTTAAATTTTGGCAGTGGTGCGACACCCGCTAAAGGGGAAATTGGCTCGAAGGGAACTTACCTAAAAGTGTGAAACCCTGTCCTGATATATCATGGATACCAGGCTCTTCAGCTTCGACATATTGCAGTCTTTTCTCCTGGTCAGATTTGTACAACTGCAGTTCTCTGACCAGATCTGACCAGTATCAGTGACTTAGAAGATTGTTTGAGGAATTGAAACTTAAAACCTGCCTACTTCCAGGTGTCCGCCCATAGCTGCTCACAATTTTGCTGCCCAACAAACGGTGAAGGTTTCCCTCTTGAAGAGCCCAGTCCTTCCGGGAGGACCAAAAATAAAACATCGACCATTGATTCTGCAATTTAAGATGTCATGTGAAAAGTATAAGTATGAAACGGTCCCGGACATCTTCATTGATCTCCTTTTCGGAAACCAGTCTGCGTTCCACACCGACAACAGACAGAGCTTCCTGCAAGCAATGGGGCATATATGTGAGAATTAATTAGGTTGGGAAACATGTTTCTGTGCCAAATGGCCTTGGTTTCTTTCTCAGTGGGCTGGTCAAGTGCAAAACTTGGCAGCCATAGCATGGCAAACTTCGTGTTGTTGTCGGTCTGAATCTGGCAGGAGCAGGCAAAGACCCCTTTCTGGAAGCTGACTGCTGGATGCTACTGGGCTCAAAGTTAAAGGTGGCAGGGGTACCATGTCCTCACTCAAACCTTTTTTGTCGCTCACGTCCAGGAACGAAAATTCCACTGGCACCTCCAAAAGGAAAGGTATGTCAACTCTTGTTTGGGAATAAGGTTGGTGGGATATCAAAATCAAGAGTGCAAAATTGCTGAAGGGCCTTTCCCTTCGAGAGCTCCTTTAGAGCCCGGCTCTCTGGTATCCCTTCCCGCTTCGCCAGGGTCAAGAACCGCTGAGTCCTGTAGTCCTCTGACTGGTCAAGGTATTCCCGGTAGAAGTCCTGAAGTAAGCCAGTGACATGTTATTAGGGGAAACATGTAATATCTCCCCGCCTTCAACAGTTCAACCCTGTGTCGGTCAGGTTTTGAGCACGGCATGGCTGGGCTGCTGAGGGTGGAAATTTGAGGAAAAACACCAGCAAATGCCCAAAGAGGCTAGTAGCAAATAAATTGGCCCTTGATGCGGTTCTGTTGGGATGTTGGGTGATTAATTATCTCCTTTAGGGTGAAAGTTGTCAGGGATTTGAACTCCATTTGCATCTGCCTGCTGGCTATGAGCCAAAGAGTTAAAATTTACAAATTCAAATTCCAAAGTATTTCAGACAGTACTGCAATCGAATGGCATTGGTGTTTCTCAAATTCAAAGGTACCTATTTTTTTCAGGGATGGGTATCATATTTTTTGATTTGAGAAACACCTAGTAAGCAGCACCGAAGTTGGTGGAAGGTGGAAGCACCTCGGCCTCTCTTTAGCTGCCGCTGTCCTGTGGAAGAAACAGTATTGGGTGGGTGGGGCCTAGGATTGAAAAGCAGAAGTAAATCAACTAGCCAGGAATAAAAAACTTAGCCCCTGGCTTTGGCGCAGGGCAGCTCTCATCAGGAAGAGGAGGATTCTTGAGCCACAGGGTTTTGGCAGGTGAATTTGGCAGAACTCAAAGTATCCAAATTTCAGCAGGTCACAAATACGATGTTTCACCTAGTGAAACATAGCCTTGGTGCATGTAGGAGTTTAACTCCAACTTTGACGCCCAGGGTATATATATATATAATGTGGTTAAAACAATGTCATAAATCACCCATGACTGGGAATGGTAACCATAGCACCTATAAAAATGGTGATGACTGGGGGATGGTTTATGGCATTGTTTTAACCACATTACACGTATTCTACCATAAATCCTATAGTTGAACTGCTTATAAACCAACTTAGCTACTAAACTGGCCCCACTTTGTACCGCGATCCCAACACCGTCCGGTCACGCCGGTCACAGTCACAGGTAGCTCGCTGCGGTGACTGTTCCCGACCCTTAGAAGCTGAAGTAGCGCCTCGCCAAGTCCAGGGTATGCCCGTTGGGTGATGAAGTGGTCACTGGAACAAAATTTGAGGTAAACCTTCCTAAACATCCTAAAACTCATGGCAATTTGGTGATTTCAAGTCTGTTTTGGAACATTCGAGTCCTGTTTGGAGACGATTTTTGATTGACTTTGATTGTCGCATTCTTAGTTCAGAATAGGGAAACCGATGGAATGATGGGAATTGGATTGGGGAACCTATCCCAAAATAGCCGAACGATTCAGGTGAATTATGAAATTCAAACTGCAAACATAGAGGTCCAACCCAGAAATCAATGTTGCTTGTTGGGGATTACATGCTATGCTTTTCGAGATGAACATGCCTCCAGATCCGATAGTTATATGCACTCTTTTTGATCTCTACTTTGACCATTGGAAAATCACCAAAGGTGTGTCCAATCAATCCGCAGGTAGTTTTCAATCATATCAATCATCATATCCCATCTCTATGAGTGGTTTCAACATGTTTCAACCCACATTTGCTGATTAAACCATATCCCATAGGATCCATGGTGCTGCTATATATGGTAACATGGATCCCATCAATATACCCCCTTTATGTTAGCATATATACCAGCACCATGGATCCTATGGGTAGAAAAACTCCCTATTTCAGCAACCAACGGGGACCGTCTCAGGTGGAGATCGGCCGTCAGCTCTGCGTTCGCTGCGCTGGACCTGTCCACCGGCGGTTCGCCACGCCCAAAGATTTGGCGGAGCAGGCGGCCGATCGAAATCGGCTGGGAGGAATGAGAGGATCATCTCACGGATCGTAAGAGGTTACCATATTACGTAACCGTTTACAGTTTGCGAACTTGAACATCACCCATAGAAATAGATGATTTACAATGATTTACATCTAATGGTGGTTTTCCAGTTCGTTATGTGAGTTCGACTCAAAACGGAGGGTCAATTCCCCATGGTGAGTCCATCGATCAATCGCTGGGATTTCCCATCAATGATTCGATTCCACCAAGATGATCCCTGAGATGATCCCTTTCTCCAAGCTGTTACAGGTTTATTCTCCTCGGGTGTTAGTGTTTTTCACTGCTACCCAAAGGGGTCGGTTTAGAGCTAGAACTACGCTTTATGGTAGTTATATCGTTGGATGGGGATTACCAATTTATAACTTGTGGGACACCACCTCGCAGGTAAGTGAGTCTATCACTATAACATATGTCATAACTATTGGACACTGGATACATGTATTGATGATTCTTAGGTTTACCATGGTTTACCACGCCAAAGTTCGACTTGGCCAATGGTCGCAGACCTGTTGATGGTGGCTTGATACAACATCATGACAAATCTACAGTTTTTTTTTTCGGTGAAATCATGTCGCAACTTGTTTTACTGGGGCCACCTATTGTAGCGGTGGATACAATGGTATCATCCAGAACGTGCGACTGCGACTTGAATTGATCCTCCAATTAAGCCACAATGTATTGGTCATTTGTCATTGAATCATCGATTTGAATGATCATGGGATATCATGGGTGTATTCCTGCGCTATTTCCCACTTCCCAGATGTATTTCAAGAATTACGAGAAGTTACTTCTGAAGTTCCAGGCTTTGCTGGGCGATTTCCAGGAACAATCGGTCGATCTTGGTTTGAAAAATTGAAGCCCCAAGACCGATGGTTGAGAAAATCAGTTTTAACCAGTGGCAGCGTTGGCAATTGCCATTTTTACTTGCGGTACGACAGGTGCCTGAGAGTGACGACGAGGATCTGGAAGGTTTCGACCTGTTTCGACCTGTCGAAGTCGGCCCGTAAAATGCAGATGCTGCTGATGAATCTGGATGGCACATTCAACCTTTCCAGCAATGCCAATTCAAAAAATCCAACATAGATCACATGGAGTTGAACATGGGAGTTTGCTGGAGACTTTTCCAATGTGTCCAAGATTTCCCTGTCAGGTTCGGAGAGTGAGTCCAGCGGATCTGTGTGGGCTGCCCCAGCCGCCCCGTGAATGATGGTTGAAAACAGCAAGGAACACGGAAACCAAACACTTATTTGCTTCAAAGCCATTGATTTCAGTTCCATGTTCATGTTGGAATCATTTTCTGGTGTCTAGATGGAGGTTTCCAAAATCATTGGGGCACCCCAAATCAACAATTTTAGTAGATTGAAACCCATGTCGACTTGGGGATCCCCCATTTTAATATTCTACAAGTGCCCTTCAAGTCCTAGTCAAGTTGCTTGGAAACCAACTTAGCTACGTGGCGCAAACAGAAATTTCAGAAATCCTCATATCACCATTTCAATATCACCATAAATATCCCATACATCCCCCCATATTTTCCGTGGTTTCTTGCGGGTGGGGGCCCCACTAAGTAAACGGCTTATACCCCCAATTATATACATGGAATATAGCCACTTAGATTTATGGGATGATATGGGTTATATTTCTATGGATATGTATGGATTATATATGGGTTATCTATGGATTATCTATGGATCATAAGCCACGGATCCTAAGTGGGGCCCGCAGAGGAGTGATCCGCCGGCGCCCGAACCGGAGCCGTTCAGAACGGAGCCAGCGAGAGCCAAGGTGCGTTTGTGATATAGTCGATAGATGTCTACAGTTGATATTGAGTAGTTATGGTTATAGATGGTGATAGTTATAGTATGTTATAGTTACATGTGTGATAATATATGGAGTTATACTTATAGTCTATAGTTAATGAGGGTTATAAACAAACAGTAATAGTGGCCCACCTCGTGATGCATTCCAATATTATTCACTGGGTAATCATATGATATAACATGTAATAACCATGTTGTAGGGATATATATGGGTCATATATAGCTTATATATGGGTTATATATATATATATATATATATCTATGGTAATAACATACAGTAATATATGGGTTATACAATGTTATATATATACATATACATATGCACATTTTGTAGGGTCACCACTGATCTGGTATGCGCCGACTGAGCTTTAGGCCACCTTAGTAGCGAGGAAAGAAGAACCGAAGGAGCCTGAAGGCCAGGATGCCCAGCGCCGATTCCCATGGTAGATGATGGTAGACGGATTCCCGGAATTTCGGAAGGGGAAAATGGTACAAAATGAGCAGCAACCAATTTTTTGTCCCTATTTTCAGACAAAGCAGTGTGCCAAGCAGCTGTTCTCTGGGATGCTTCCTTATCTAGCATGATGTATTAGAACGTCTGATCTCTCACTCAGAAACAGGTTTATGTGTAAGATGTATATCTGGTTGGTGCTTTGGAACATTTTTCCATATATTGGGAATGTCATCATCCCAACTGACTTTCATGTTTTTCAGAGGGGTTCAAACCACCAACCAGATTATGTCTTATGAAAACACTCATGGCTGGGTTAGATCTTCATATCATTTGTTGGTGATCCACTGTATCCCCACTTTATATAGTACATCATAATTATTAGTACACACTACACAGCACATGAACAAAAAAGCTGTATTAGATGAGAAATACCTGTATACAATACACATGTATATATATATATATGTGATATATATATATATATGATATACCAGTGTATACATATATATGATATAGGTTATACAATCATTAATTATATAGTATATGATAGCATATGTACTATTATGTATATACACTTTAAGTACAGCTCATCCCCGTGCTGGGCCGGGCCTGCCCTCAGGCGCGAAGCCTCGTGCCCAGCTGACCAAGCGCAAGTCCTTCGAAGAAAAGGCGCAGGAAACGGCGTCGCGTCTGGAGGCGCGGCCGTTGCCGGGGGATTTCCATGGGAATTTCCTGCCGGTTGAGTTGTCTGATTTTTTTAATATTTTTTTTGTACCTTGCATCCACTGGTGATATGTGGTATTAAATGGCTATGAAAAATTGGGTATACACTCGTGTATACACCGTTTTCACACTTATTTGTTGGAATTTTCGTTCATAGGAATATTGGAGGAGTAATGGAAGGATAAATATCTATTAATATACCTATTGCTAAATGGGTATTTAAATATCTAATACAACATCGTGCCCCAGTTATGCTCGGCTGATGATGATGATGATGATGATGATGAGTAATTTAATGGTGATTTAACCATGTTCGGGATTTAACTGATGTACTTAATATAACTGAGACAACTGATATAATTTATATATATATATATATAATATGATGGAACTGATAAACCATTGATGTAACGTCTATGATAGTACATAGCATGATATATTTCGGATGTAAGTTATATAGCTGGTATAACTGTCATTAGTGATTAAAATGGTATACCAACTGAGGTAACTGATAGAACTCATATAACCTAGATAGAATTCATAACACTGATATAACCACCATTATGGCAATCTAACCGTAATCATTGGGAATACAGTATCTCAAGTGGATTCAATGGGTTTTTTCGGTGTATCACCATGAAGGCGTAAGACCAACCATGAGTCGATGTATTTTGGGGATTGATTTCCTTGGAAAAAAAACAACTGATAGAATCTAAACGAATTGTTATGTCATGAAAATGTCATGTGATGTTATTTCATTGTTCACCCATTCACATATTACTTTATAATATGGTATGTTTATGCCAGTTATATTTGGGCATGAGTTAAGTCATTAGTTTTTTTTGTGTTAGACCATCCATTTTGGAGGGTTGATCATTCTGATCCATACGCAACTAAAGGTGCCATGAAAATATCAAGAAACACATGGATATTTTTGAGTGGGAAAATCTACTATACCTGAAGGTTTTATAGGGAACAGTTATCCCATGGGGACTTGGACAGCAAAGATGGAATTTGACCCCAACATAATCACAGAACATGAGTGATGAACTAACAAACATGGATCAAGAAGTTTTTTTTCCATGAAGCAATCAATCATTTGATTCCAGGGGTTTTGCCTTTGCCGGTGTCAACACCGGAGCAAAACAACTGGCCCAACAGTTCGATGTGGTGAAACTCCTTCCGATTCGCGAGGCAAAATTGGCGAAGTTCCAGAAGGATCAGGTGCATTTTTCGGGGAAGTGAGGACTAGATTGACTAGCCGACTAGGTTCGTGCAGTGCCTTTTGTATGGGTATCTAAGGTTAGCAATGTGCCATGTCTCCTCTTACTATGCCCCAAATGGTCCACTGCTATCAACAAATCATCCACCACTGGTGATCTACCTCGGTTGAGTGCTTCGGGTCATGGTTATACTACCATATTACATAGAATCCGTATTGACCAACCAGTATAAAATGTTTTTTGGAATCCCATAGAATCCCTATTGAATGACAGGCTTTTGACATGTTTTGAACACTGCTTGTGACTCCGAGTTTCATCGGTGATCATCGCCAGGAAGAAAAGCGGATTCGGGAGCCGGGATTCTGCGGCGAAAGGGAAGCCTCCAAGCTGTGTGAAAATTGGCGGTATAATGTACACACATTATACATAAGATAGAACATATTAAGATTATCGTGTGTACATATATATATATATATTATACACATTCTAACCATTACATATTATATCATTGCATATATATATATACACATACATATTATAACCCATACATAACCCTTAACCCATAAAGTTGGGGGAAAAATGGTATATGAAAAAATCCTTAGGATATATCATACTATATCAAGTACTTATATAATTATGAAGTATAGTATATCATATCAGACTTAGGGTATATATAACATATATCAAGTACTCATATATATATATATATATCATATCATATATCATATATCATATATCATATATCATATATCATATATCATATATCATATCATATCATATCGATTCCTAACATATCATATCTTATCATGCATACGTATACATTATAGTTATACGTCCACAATTGATCGGTGCGGGCGAAGGAGGAGGTGCATAAGATGAAGCGCAGGGTGAAGGTGGGAAAAAGATCTGGGGAATCGGCGGAACGGCGGAACGGCGGAACGGGGCCAGCATAAAATGGGTGAGTTGATGTTAGTCTGTATGGAAGATAGATGGGTCAATGAGTTTTCCATACAACTAACATCAACTAACATCAACTAGCATCAACTAACATCAACTAGTGGAAATGTTAGTTAGTTAGATGTTAGAGGTTAGTTGTATGGAAATGGATTGGTTTCCATGGAAAATAGATGGGTCATGATGGGCCAATGGATTGGTTTCTTCGGAAACACCTGGAGGATTTTTTGGTGATTTTCCCCGCCATTTTTACAGGCATTTCCTGCAGATGTTCCCCCATGATTTGCAGAATATTCACATTTTTTGCATGAAAATGACTAGTGATTGGCAGAGTAGAATTCCTACAACTGGAATGCAAGGGGAATTGTGCCATTTGCGAAGGAAAAAAAATCTGTGGGCTTGTCCCAAAATTGCGGATTTACATGCACCTATTGTGTTGGGTCCTGAACACAGAGCTGGTCATGTATCCCATAATATGTTGAACAAAGGGAATCCATTCAGAAGTGAGAAAAAAATCCTGTGGGAAACATGATCTGGTAGATTCCAAGAATGGAAGAACGCTATTCCTGGTCTTCTATATGCGGCTGTGCGTCTGGCTTGCACTCCTAAAATCAAAAAATGTCCGGTGAAAGTATCAGAAGCAACATGGAGATGAGATGTGAAATGGAAAGATAAATGGAATCAATGCAGGATATTTCATGCAATGGAAGCCATCCGTACATTTCGTGCAATCCGATGCATCGTGCTTTCAGTAGAAGTTGCTTTCTGTCTCGCGCCAGGAGAAGAAGAAAAAGAAAAAGGAAAAGAAGGAGAAACATGAGAAGGAAGGGAAGCTCAAAGGCGCAGCTGCCTTCACTTCAACTGTGTGTTTGAGTTGTGAGGGGTCAGAACGAGAATCAGTAGCAGATGCTGGACCCAAGCCTCGAATGTGTGCTGGGTTAGGTAGCATAGACCTGTTGGGAACCCCACATACGAGTGCATTTTCAGTATCAACCATCCAACATTTGAAATAATTATTCGATGATGTGTTGGTCGGCTGTTTCCATGGTTCTTGGCTTGTACTACCATTTATTTGGAGTATGTATCCCAGTATTTGTGGCTCTTATCACTAGCAATCCCGGCAAAATTATCCCGTGTTTGTGTTTACATCTCATTTTTCGCAGGCGGAATTGTATTAACCTGATCTCCCAGTGTTTATTGGTGAAACCAGCACATTGTTTCTTCGTAGTTTTGTGATCCAGGCAAAAAGAGCAAATGAGCTCTGAGCTGGGTGATGGTTGGCCATCGTCAGTGATGCCTGGTGCAGCCTGGATTGCTGGGAATCCCAAGCACCAGTGACGTGAACCGCTTGGGGATTGGGAAATGGATGCGATGAATTTGATGTCCAGAGGGTGATATCATGGACCGACTATAGTAATAATCTAATACTAGTATGTACCGGTACTCCTCACTGAACACATGTATAATAAAGAGTCACCTGAAAATGCCATATCAAAGATTTCAGGAGCAAACCATGTTCTGGTTGGTGGTTTGGAACATTTTTTATTTTCCACCATATATGGGAATAATCATCATCCCAAGTGACTTTCATATTTTTCAAGATGATTGACACCACCAACCAGTGTTGGATTGCAAGGTAACAGCAAATCCTCGTCACGTCTTCGCATCAATGTCATGGCCGGATGCTGCCTGATGCTGACCGTATGCTGACCAGCCTACCTGGTGGTCTACAACTGCCAGAGACTGCTGGTGGTCGCGGATGGGCAAAAAAGAGGCCGAACGCACTACTTTTCCATACCCAAACATTACCGTTTGATTAGGACAACTGCTGATTTCTACCATATATACTTTGGGGATACCCTATTTTCAGACAAAGCCATATGTCAAGTTGGTTGGTGATGTCACGTATACTTTTCACATTCAATCCCTTGGGAGTGTTGAGATCCCAATAGGCCGTATTTCAGACTGAAGACATAAATCCGAACACGAGAGTCGTGGTGTCATGATGTCATGTCTAATTTCAAGGTCCAAAAAAAATAATCGGGGTAGACAATGTCAGAACCATTTGTGCCAGGCAGCCTATCCATGGATTTGTTGTGTCCAGAAATCAGTTCACGGTCTATTGGTTTCTAAGTAAAACCTAAGTTCTAATAGGTCATTAATTCGCTAAGTTTGCAGACACACCTCCAATCCATCTTTGTGCAGATGGCCAACCCAGCCCCAGAACAGAGTGAACAACGGTAAAACCATCATGAAACCTGGGCGTAAATTAGGAGTTGGGATTCATTAAGGACTATACACACACATATATAATATATATATATACATAGACATTATACATATATACCCTAGGCGTCAAATGCTAAGTTTAACTTGGTATTTGTCCTATGCTAAGTTTTACTAGGTAAAACTTCGTATTTGTGGAAGTTTGCTTCTGTGAGCCACTGTGGGCTCAAAGAACTCTCACCGATGAAGAAGGCCCTTCGTAAGAGCCACATCCTCAGATCATCTTAGATCCATTTCCCCAGCCCTTTCTTTTTCCATTGCCAACCTCATCTCTGAGGAATTCAAAGGTGTGCCGATGGTGAAATTGGTACGCTGCACTCTCTTCATGCTTGCTTGCGCACGGTGCCAAAGGGTATGGGTCAAACAGAATAGATACTAAAGCATCTGATTTTGAGATTTGACCTATACTTCACCAACATCGTTGAAACAACACTCTTTCAAGAAGTCTTTTCATTCTCAATGTTTCTGAGGCTCAAGACAGCTGGCATCTAATATGCTCTGATTTCCGACAACGGGATTCCTATGACACGTCAACGCAGCATAGACAAACGATGGGAGCTGGGCACATGCATTTTTTTTGAGGTGTGTTTGGCCAAGATCTTGTTCCAGCCATGCCAGCTTCAAAGCCAGATTCAACCCGATTAGCGCTGCTGAAGGATGGCAACCCTTGCAATGAAATTTTGGTTGTTTGAAAATTGGGCATACCAAAACCCCCAAAATCCAGTAGATGATGGTCTTTCTCCCATTTGCAGCCATGATCCAATTCAAAATTTAAAGTCTATGTCCAACCAATCCCAAACAAATAGACATGTGCCCACACAGCCATTGCATCTACGCATGCCGGCAGGATTTCTACAACGAGCAGTTGGAGAATGACTTCCGCCACTCACGGTTTGTGGACCTGGCCAAGAAGGAAGGGATTCCCCTGGCAAAGGTAGAACGACAACTTCAAGAGGGGAAGGCCTGGTAGTGCTGTCAAAATCAGAATCAAGTGTCATATAAAGTAACTTACTTAGCATTTGATGCCCAGGGTATATAAGATAAATTATTTATATATACTATCTGATCTTAGATCTTATTTCAGAATTAAGAAATGAACAAAGCCCATGTTCGTTTGGTTCAATCGTCATGTCAGGTTCCTGGAGTACAATTCACCTTCGTGAATGTTGGCAAGAAGGGGATAAATGAGGATTGCGTACACCTGGCAAAATTTCATCCATATCTCTGAGGTATCTAAAAATATCTCACAGTTGAAAACCTTTGCAATGCAGCCAGGTACAGCAACCCCGGAACACAGAGTTCCTCCTGAGTTGGCTACCAACTTTTGCCTTGAATCCCCCCACAGAGATGGAGGCTAAGGAGCCAAATCAAACAATATAGTTTTTTGCAGTCTGCGCCAATCAATTTCATTTTTATTTTAGTTGATATCTGTTCGTGGGCAGGAGGCATTGATGTGTGTTGGGGAAGCTCATTGCCTCGCAGAAGCTAAGAACTTGGAGGCAAGATATTGTAAAGCCTTCATGAACCAATTCAACCAAATACAAATTGGTAACCTGGGCCTGGCCAGGATTGGGCGTTAGAAGAATCTGGTATCCACAGATCGATGGCTTCGAAAGTGCTGGCCAACTATTCCCGCACACCAATAGCGAGGCTCATTATCATGGTTTGCCAAGTCTCTCCAACACATCCTAACCCTAGCGCATGCTCTTTGGTCGTTTTTCTTTAAACCTTCGTAGTGGTACTTATGAACTCTACTGCAGGAAACCTGGCAGCAATATGCAGAAGCTGAAGAGCCTCCTCGGGATGATCTTCCAGGACTCACTTGCAGTGATCCTGGCGGCTTGTAGAGATCGGTCACAGAAAGTATCAGGGAAGTCAAAATCTGAATTGTCTGCAGGATGCAGGGGTGTCCAAAAAGACAAGATCCATTCGACGGCCAGAGTTGAAGAAGGCCGCTCCCTTTGTGAAGATCTCAACATTTCTAATTCAGCTAGCCGGGTGAAAGTGTCGCATACTCCCTATGCTCTGTGATCTCCAGTCTATTTTGCACAGACACAGGAAAAGACTAAAGACGCCACCAAAGAAATGGACAAGAAAGATGAGAAGGCAGAGGAGAAAGGGAAGGACAAGGTTGAGAAGCAAGTCGACGAGACAGGACAGCAGGAGACAGAGGAGAAGGCTACTGATGGAGAAGATTCAGATGTTCTACTGGTGGAGGAGGAGGAGGAAGAAGATTTTACCGACGATGAAATGCTGGAGAATCCAGAAAATGGACAGCAGACCGAAGACAAAAAGAACAACAAGGAGGAGATGAGGAAAGCCGAAGATGCAAAGATGGCAGAAGAGGAGGAGAAAAAGAAAGTGGAAGATGCAAAGAAGGCCGCAGAGGAGGAGAGAAAGAAAGTTGAAGATGCAAAGAAGGCAGAAGAGAAAGAGAGAAAGAAGGCAGAAGATGTAAAGAAGGCAGCAGAGGAGAGGAAGAAGGCAGAAGATGCAAAGAAGGCAGCAGAGGAGGTGAGAAGGAAAGCAGAAGAGGCAAAGAAGGCAGAAGAGGAGGAGAGAAAGAAAGTTGAAGATGCAAAGAAGGCCGCAGAGGAGGAGAGAAAGAAGGCAGAAGATGCAAAGAAGGCCGCAGAGGAGGAGAGAAAGAAGGCAGAAGATGTAAAGAAGGCAGCAGAGGAGGAGAGAAGGAAAGTTGAAGATGCAAAGAAGGCCGCAGAGGAGGAGAGAAAGAAGGCAGAAGATGCAAAGAAGGCAGAAGAGGAGGAGAGAAGGAAAGTTGAAGATGCAAAGAAGGCCGCAGAGAAGGAGAGAAATAAGGCAGAAGATGCAAAGAAGGCAGAAGAGGATGAGAGAAAGAAAGTTGAAGATGCAAAGAAGGCCGCAGAGGAGGAGAGAATGAATGCAGAGAGGAAAGCCAAAGAGAAGCCTGCAAAGCTCATTGAAGAGAAGAAAGAACAGCTTCAACGTCAAGAGGAAAAAAAAGAACAGAGCCAAATTAAATTGGCAAAAGAGGCTTCGGAAAAGAAAGAAGCAGCAAAACACCAGGCTGAAAAGAAGAGAGCAATTGAAGCGGAGGGTGGAGCAATGGCAGTGGCCACAGGATTAGCTTTCAAGCTTTACGATGCCTTGCAACTCCTGGAGGATTCACCTGAGAACAGAGACTTCAAGACCGAAGTGTTGGACTATTTGTGTGGCAAAACGGAGGTGACGTTGGCCAACAATGATGAAATAGACGTTGGGAGTGATGAGGAAGACAGAAACAACAAGGAAAAGGGAACCTACCAGGACCAATTTTTGTTTCTATGAAATTCGCACATTTTCTCACTGTATCTAAATCTTGAATAGATCTTAAACCTCTTTGATCCAGATAAGCTGGCTGAAAATCCCAAGTATGTCAAGTCATACCCAAAGTTTCTGTGAACAGTGACATCAACTTGGCCATCAGGATACAAAGCCCTTGGTCCCCACCGTTCCAGATCTTGCTGGGGATCTTCAAGAAGACCAAGGGGACGATGCGGTACAAAGACTTCTGCAGGCTTGGGTAACTCTGTAAACACTCTAAATACTTTTTCCAGTGAGTTGTGCAGAACTGGTAAGTTTTATCAGTACTAGTTGCGCCTTTATGTCAGGAGCAAAGAGACATCCGAGCAAAAAGAAAACAAGCCTTAGCTGAGAGGGAAGCTGTACCGAAGAAAAGGGGCAGGCCAGCCAAGGATGGCAAACAGCCAAAGAAAGATATGAAGCAAGAGGAAGATGAAGCAGATGACAAAGATGAAGTACTGTCCATGGAAGAGGCACTGGCCGACCAAGATGAGCAGCTGAGACTGGAGAGAGAAAAAGAAGAGGAAGAGAAGAAGCCTAAGACCACCCGCAAGCGCAAAGGAAAAGACAATACTGGCAAAGGAAAAGACAATGGAAAGCGAGCAAAGAAGAAGGCTGCTCATGATGAGGAGAATCCTGATGAAGAGAGGAGCCCAGAAGAGGAGAAAAAACCGAACAAAGGACCCGGGGAGGCCCATCCTATTGTCATGGTTAAATCCAGTGGGGGTGACATTGATGGTATTTGTGAAGTTGATGGTGAACTCACCTAGAAAATGATAGCCCTTTCTTGCACGGTCGTCAGTCCACTTACCAAAATGGAAATTACCTAAACCTTGGATATATTTTGAATTCTCAGGTTAACTGGTAATTGCTCATTTTTGATTCCCACCACCTCATGACACTGCAGGCAGTCGACCAGGCTGCTGCCGAGCGGAGAAAGCATGCACGAGAGGAGCTCTGAATTACATGTGAGCAACTTTCCCCAATTAGTTTTGACATGTTTTGACCAACATTTCTTTCACATATTGGTACCCGTCATCAGTGCCAACTTTCCCAGTGTGCCTTGAGACTGCAGGAGCTTGTTTCCAAACATCTGCCCTTGGTTCGGCGCCTGGCAACCAAGAAAGTCATGTATGAGCTTCCGGAGGAAGATTCACTGACTTCGAAAAAGTCTGGGCCATAGATTCCTCCATCAGAAGTTCATAGGATTGACCAAAGTACTCTTTTTTTGTTAAGGTTCAAATCTTGCCTAAGGTCCTGGACCCAAGCCCCTGATGAAGGAGTTCTGGGGGAAAAGCTGTTTGAGAAGGCATCATCAATCAGCACACTGTCCATTACTTAGAACTTGCCGATCTACCGATATATCTATCTACATTTTGAATTGGTAATTTCTTTTGGGATTATGATAACAGCATCATTTGATTGAGGCTTGCTGGCAGTTCGTTCTTCGTTGTGCGGGCCAACGAAGACCAAATCAAAGAGGTCAACAAGTTTTTCCAGACTGACTTTGAGGTGGGACCTTTCCAATGATGCCACTCAATGCGCATGGATCTTGGGACATGTTTGCAATCATATAGACGGTAATAAACATTATAATTCTTTTCTTTGGATAGAGCTACATATATGTGATTCATTTTCTGACTCTTGATCTTTGGGCAGGTCAACTCCAATAGGGGTGTCACCATTACATGGGCCAAGAATGGTGGAATCTGTGAAGCGCTGGAAGCTAAGCAGTTCACAAATGTCTCAGCAACTGAAGTATGTCTACATGGCTACATAAATCCCAAAAATTAAGACTTTGCAAAGATATTCAATTCTTGTTTGACCCAACCGAGGTGGCACTTGGCCCGTTGCCTCGCTGGCTGGCTGAAGCACTCGGAGTTTGGCCCTTTTGAAAAGGGCCAGTATCCTGGAAGCTAAGAGCACAAGTGTCAAATTTTGGCAACGAGATGTCCAATTTAGATTTTAGTGCCTAGACACTCATGGCAAGACCAGTGATGTGAAAGGAAACATATTAAAATTTGGTAGCGTTCAAACTTTGGTTTTTGACAATGCCGTCAAGAGTGTCAGCGCCTTTGTTTCTGATCAGTCTGTCAGACCAAACAAGAGCAGCAGCAGGGGAATGCTGAAAAGTACACATTGGCTTCATGTTGCAGGTTGAACTTGACAAGTCAATTGCACTGAGCACCGATGCAAAAAGGAACTTGTTGAAATTCAAAACCAACTATGAACCAGAGTTTTACCTGTCTTTCCAAACTGATCTTCAACTAGGCATGTGTGATGGCCCAGCAATTGGCTCAGCGGTGAACCCTCACGCCTGGAGGCAGTGATCGATCCTGCGACTTTCCAGCATGCCTCCAGCATGGAAGCGTAGCCCGTTGGCACTCACGGCATGTGCTGCAACGGTGGCATTATTTCTTGGAGCTCCAACTACCTTGTGTGGAGCCTAGTGAAATTGATAGACAGTCTTTTTGTGTGACCAGGTTTGACCAGTAACATCGGTCATCTTTGGCTGAGTGAAACTTCATCCATTAATTGCAGCTTTTGCAACTCATGTCTGTAGGTGGGCTGATCATATATAGCAGTCCATTCCCGGGGCCATGTATAGGAACAAATTGTCCCGTGCCTTGTCTCAGAGCAATGACCCAAGTGCAAAGCGCACCTGCCGATCCCAAGATGTTGATCGTGGGGTTGTGGATACCCCAAATGAGATTGACGAGGTTGACATATCTGACCTTGTATCTAGAGATGAACCGCCCACAGAATCTGAAGATGAATCAGGAATTTCTTGCTCTTCCTACTGGCGACCAGCAAATGATTTTCCCTACTCACTGGCTGTATGGGTCAAGTACCGCAACAAGTGGGTGTTGATTCCTGATTGGCACTTTCGCACAGATGCTCAGCATGTTCCAGAATGCAATTGTCGCTTCTGTGAAATCTTGAAGGCTGTTGGCTCTGAGAAGCAAAATTAATTTTCAGTTGGGGATCGCTGACAGCAAACTGCAGGGATCTCGATTAGAACAATAAATTCAACATGGTCACCGCATTTTAGCGTGAGATCTGTGACAATAGAGTTGCTGTGCCTACCAGCTTCTACCTGCATCGAAAAAAATGCCTTGAGTTTGCCAATTTGTGCATGATGTCCCAATGCCAAAAAAGCAAACTGAACCATTATGTCTGGATTGTTGGAACAAGTTGATCTCTTCAGGTTGGACATTGCGGACCAGGTGGCCGAACAGAACTACAAATATTTTGACAGGGTCAGAACCTCAAAGTGGTAAACTTGTCATTTATCGAATATGATCTAGTCATATCTTTCTTCATTTTCAATTCAAGAAAAAACATCGTCAAATATTGAACCTGGAGGATTTGGTCAACTTCGATGTCTTCAGTGGCGCTGGATCAATCTACCGGGCATTCAGCCTCAGCCTCAAGACTAAAGATCATCCATTTCAGATTGATAAGTCTAAGTGTTTTGGACTTCCACCCTCCAATATTTTTCTTGAAGCTTCAACGACCAGGTGACAGCGGACATCCTTCGCTGCATCCTCAGTTTAGTTACTGCAGTGTTATCTTATTCATATCATGGATTCGATATATATCAAAATCATTATGATTTTTAATAATATATTATATTATATATCGAATCCATGTTAATAGTACCAGTATGTTCTACCAGAAATATATAATCTTCAATTCAACTTACTGACCTACCTTGCAGTCCTAGCGTATTGGAATCCAGGCAGAACTATGATGTGGTCACCAGAGGGTCATACAACGACTTGGCCACACCGCTGGGGTCTTAGAAAGATTATGTTATTTTCATATGCCTATATGGTCATCCAGTTTAGCTGGCCTGGCTCGATCTGAGGCATGGCTTTGCCGAAGCTGTTCTGCACACATTGCGCCTAAAGCCGGGAGCGCTGATGACTCTGGGACCACCGTGCAAGTCATTTGTGTGGATAAATTCCCACACACATGGTCGCACGGAGGATGAACCCTGGGGTGATGAAAGCAAAAGCTATGTCAATCTGGGGTCAATGTTACTTATCTGATTTTTTTGATTTGAATGGAATCCATGTGTGAATTGCTATTCAAGACATGCTGTCATTCTGAAAGAAGGAGACCGACTTTTCTTTTGATGGCTGATTTCTGAGGCTAGCTTTACGGGCCCTGCTCTTGATCATTCTTGCAACCGCCAGAGGGGCACTGGTATCCCTAGAACAGCCAGGGTCATCCCGCATGAAGTACCTACCCGAGTTTATTCGAACTGGCAAGCTGATCAACCAGTACTTGGGTGACAAATTCTGGAAGGAGCAATTCTTGTCAGAAACTCAATTGAAAATGGTGCTCTAGGAAAAAATGGTGAATTCATCAGCATGCAAAAATTATCACCACCGGTGCACCAAGTTGGATGGGAACCTGGGGGTCGCCTTCACCGAAACCCACTCGTTGCTGGGGGACCGCGCTGGGTGCTAAGCGGAAAGTGTTCTCCAAAGTGCTATGCTGCCTGCAGCAGCTTGGTGATTGTGACCAATGGATTCCAAGGCCATGGTTGCCTTCGTTGTACCGGACCCTCACCAAGATCCAGCGGAAGAAGTTAGCAGACCGTATGAAGAAACTGAAAATCACTGTTAAGCGTAAGAAGCAAGATGGATCCATCTCTGTGTCCATGTCTCAGTTTATCTTGGAAGATTTCACATGTATCCAGGAACAACATTTTGAATCTGTGCACAAGTAGGAACCGTTTCTGTTTCAGGTGTGGTGGCCCAGACCTTCAGGCTACACAAATCTACCCAGATGGCTTTGGAAAGCGTATTTGCTTTCTTCATCAAGTCCTCATGGACCCTTGGGCTAAAAGTGTAGAGGGTTGAGAGTTGCAACCTGAAAATCAAAAGTAGAATGGTGAAATCCCTGTTGGTAGAATTATTTCCAACATGGTATTATTTGAAAAGTAAATTGTAGCGGACCAGTAGGAATGTTGCCAAAGGAACACCAGTGCTTCAGAACCAGAACCAAATCCTGATTCTCAATCCAGAAACCAATCACATTGCATTAAGGGATTTTCCCCAAAGTGGGCTTTAAGAAACAACAGTACTTTTACCTGGGATACCCAAATCTCATCGCAACGTCTTGGTCAGGACTCTCCCGACGACTTGAAGATGCAGGCCGCTGTGAAGTCACTCTACTACACAGTGCGCAATGGCAAACAAATGCCAGCTGGGAATCTCAGATTTTGGGAATTTCCAGTAACCCATCATTTTACTCAAAGATCTATGGTTTCCTTTTAGAACTCACAGGGATGCAACTAAATCATTCTGGATGTTCTGGGCGAAACCTATCCCTTGAAGTTGGGAAAATGAGGCCAAATGCCCTGGTGCTTGGAAGAAAGCCGGGCTCCGTCAGCTGAAGAAGAAAGTCATTTGCAAATTCAAGTCCTAATTCTGGCACAGACCAGTTTTGCAGGGGGGGCTTGGAACCACTACCCAAACAATGGAAGATAGATCCCATGTTGTACATCCCCAAAAGAGATCATTTGAAGGAATAAACAGATTAAACAGATAGTTCTCAACTTAATATTGGCAAGGTTCCACAATCTTTAAGCTCCCTGGTACATCTATGAACAATTCAGCCTCGTTGTGCTCAGCGATCTGGCTGCATGACTCGCCTGTTTTCACCGGGGGTGGTCAAATGGCAGGTGTGAGGTATCAACCTTGTTAACATTATCTGTTTTTTATCATTTGTGTATTCTACATGGATGGTGGCAAAAAAACATCCGCGTGAAATCGCGTGAAACATGCGTGAAATACTAAGTTTTACCGTGAAATACTAAGTTTAACCGTGAAAGTGCGTGAAACTGGGGCCCCTAAATTTCAGTGGATTCCTGAGTCATCTTTATGCCTCAAATCTTGCCAGTTACCACTTGATGCAGGTTTCCTGTTGAGCTCGCAGGAGAAAAAAGGGATCTAATGAATTTCTTTTTCACAATATGTCCACAATTCTGAATTTGTTTTGAATCTTGGGTTTGAGATTGGTATCGATGAAGGCATTTTGGGCCAAACCATATATAGCCTTTCTGGAAGTTTCACAGCTTCTGATGAACGAGTTGAAAGAGCACTTGGAAAAGGCCCGGGCAAGGATCCAAAAGGTCACAGGGGTCCCCAGCGAGCCTTCCCCAAATGCTGTCGAAACAGCATCGGTGCCATCTACACCTACCAGTGCTTCCACAGGCGAGGCAATGTGGCCCAAACCCATCTGTGGATGGTCAATTCTTGATCTGATATATAGGTACCAGAAATAAATAGATCAGATTTTGGTTCCCAGTCCTATAGTAGTACCATAGTTTTCATATCATGAACACCACCCTTGGATTTTGAAGAGGTGACACCTTACCTATTAGGGATTTGTTTTACAACCTGCACCATCTTTGCCTGCAAGGCACCAAGAGACGAGTTGTGAAGCGAGTGAAGAAAGTCCGGAAGACGCAGGATGCACAGAAACCCGTGGAAAAAAAGAACAATGATGAAGTGAAGGTTGAAAGAAAGGACACCGCAGAAGAATCACTGCTGGCTCTCCCCTACGATGTTGAGAAGGCAGAGGAGGAGGCCAAGGAAGCAACGTTGGCAGCTTACTATGCACGTGTAAGACAGCAACTTGAAGAAGGGGATTTCTCAACAACACCAAGCTCAAGGAGTGCAGATGCTGCTTCGCCATGTTCTGGTCCCCCTGGACTGCATCGTGCAGGAAGCACAAGTGATTTCAGTGATGTCAGCAGTGCAGGGCCATCGGCAAGTGTGCTGGCACTTCAGGCACTTCACAGGTGCAGCACAGGGGAGCAACTCTGTAAGCAGCTCGACTTTGGTGATGCAGAGTCTGAAATCTCATGGGCCTCAGTTGAAGCCAAGCGCATCATGCAGAAAGCAAAGGAGGATGCAGACCATGCAGCAAAGATGCTAGCAGAAGCACAGCAAATGATGGCAAGAGCTCAACACGAGAAGGCAAAGGCAGAAGAAGCAAAAAAGGAAAAGGATAGAGCAGAAGATCAGGAGAGAAAGAACACCGAAGATGCAAAGAAGGCCGCAGAGGAGAGGAAGAAGGCAGAAGATGCAACGAAGGCAGGAGATGAGGAGAGAAGGAAAGCAGAAGACGCAAAGAAGGCAGAAGAGGAGGAGAGAAAGAAAGTTGAAGATGCAAAGAAGGCAGAAGAGGAGGAGAGAAAGAAAGTGGAAGATGCAAAGAAGGCCGCAGAGGAGGAGAGAAAGAAGGCAGAAGATGCAAAGAAGGCCGCAGAGGAGGAGAGAAAGAAGGCAGAAGATGCAAAGAAGGCCGCAGAGGAGGAGAGAAAGAAGGCAGAAGATGCAAAGAAGGCAGAAGAGGAGGAGAGAAGGAAAGCAGAAGATGCAAAGAAGGCAGAAGAGGAGGAGAGAAAGAAAGTGGAAGATGCAAAGAAGGCCGCAGAGGAGGAGAGAAAGAATGCAGAAGAGGCAGAGAAAAAGAAAGCAGAAGATGAGGAGAGAAAGAAGGCAGAAGATGCAAAGAAGGCAGAACAGGAGGTGCCTGAGCCAGTTTCGAAGCGGACACAAGAGCACAAGAAGGCTGAAGAAGAGAAAAAGAAAGCGGAGGAGGCCTTGAAAGCTGCACAAGCAAAGATGCAAGAAGCAGAGAAAGCCCTCGCAGAAGCAAACAGCAAAGATGAAAACAAAAAACCTGGTAAGGGTGGCAAAGTTGCTGAGGGTGACCCAGATGGTGAAGATGATCCGAATCCAAGTGATGAAAAGAACAAACATCTAGCCGCCAAAAAGGCAGCGGCACATGCAAGGTACATGAGGTACTACAGGAACATTCGCCGTCCTGTCCTAAGAACCTTACCACACATGGTGGGAAACATTTCCAACTGAGTCAGCAATTCCAATTTTGATTCTTGAAGTAGCCCACTTCAATCTGCAACCTTCCCTCTACTGAGACAAAGACACTCCCAAAGAACTTCGATTGATGGGCACGGAAGCAAAAAACAGTTCCTCAAATGCACTAATCATTCTTTTCCTAACAGAATAATCTCCCAATCCCAACTTCGTGAGAAGCCTTGAATCTCCAAGTATTTCACATAGTCCACCTGCCAGCCGGATCTGTGTGTGATCTATTTTTATATCAGCTATTTGTTGGTGCCCTCGTGCTATAACAATCTAATACCGATCGATCTATCTAATTCAGTTCCCTGTACTATCCCGATATATCGAGGAAAAACATATACAGTAGATTCTTTAAAGGGACGCCCTGTGCCACCAAAACATATCTTTAAACAATGGGGATCCTTATGTACAGGCACCTCAAAAAAATGCTTCCACAACATCGTTCTCTAAAGAATCATACCCGGGTGGCCTTCATAGAGAACGCGACCCCATGCAAACAGGCAACATTAATTCTCTAAAAAATCAAGCGAAAACTGACAACCCGGGTTGTCTGATTCTTTAGAGGGAATTCCAAGGGGGGTTTAATACATTATTATCCATCGCATTCAGTTCCAAAATAACCAAGGTTGATGAGGAAAAGTTGAGGCCACTAGTGACAAAGGAAACAATGGGAAGAACATAGCCTACAGCCTATGGGATTTTTTCTCAAAGCTTGAAAACATTTCCATTCCTTCGCTTGAGCTCAGGTTCTTCGCTCAACGCTGTCTTATTCGATGCATGGGTGCAGTGCGAGGAAGGGAACTGGTCTAAGTCTGCTTTCTACCTCAACATCAAAACACGCCACACCAGCAAGAAGCGTGGAACCCGAAAATGGATGTTGAGTGATGACATGGACAAACTCTTTAGTGTTTCCGTTGCAGAGGCCATGCGACAGCATAAGGCCAGTGACAAAACGCTGTGGGAAAAGGAGACCAGGTTTCACCCAGAACTGCCAGAGAAGGAGGAGACCCCGGGTGTGGTCTTGCAATTTCTTTCTCAGTAAAAACAATGTAAAAACAGTTAAACTGCAAATGTTTGTTTCCTGCAATTTCGCCAGGAGTTCAGGCAGTACCTTTGCCTCGTTGAAGATGCTGAGGACACTGAGGTGTGCGAAGAAATCGAAAGGCTTTTCAGCTGCATCGACAAGGACTCGAGCAGCAGCAGCAGCAGCAGCGAGTCGAACCACAAACGGAAAAAGACTGATGATAAGAAGAAAACTTCGAAAGATGAAAAGCCCAAGAAGGAAAAAAAGAAGAGTAAGGTGGGGGTATGTAGGATGCTTAAATCCAAAATTATTTTTACTTGAAGGCATGTTCTACGAGATCAAAATTATCAAAATTGTTCTGCCCAGGGAAAGAAGAACAAGAAGGAGAAAAAACAGAAAGAGAAAGCAGAGAAGGCAGATATGACGCCAGAAGAAGAGAAGGACAAACTGGTAAAGGAAGAAAAAAAACAATTGATGAAGGATGCCAAGAAGGCCAGTAAAGTATAGCACTTGTATGAGCTGACTTTTTATACTACTTTTGACTTGCTGAGTTGGATCATTTCATATGATTGCCGCTGTTCCAGGCGATTTCTGATGCCAGCAACAAGCTGAAGACTGCGATTGGATTGATGCCAAACCTTTCGCAGCTGCAAAGCCCTCAGATTTCAAACAAAATTTGATCAATCTATGATATATAATAGTCATCATTGATCATGCAATCGATATCTGTTGTTTAAGAGAACCCTGTGACCCTGTCAGGAGCGAGAAGTTCCAGGAATCTGTGAAGTCTGACTGTGATGAGAAACAAAAGCTTTGTGAGGCTGGGTAGATTTGGGGGGTTCAGTTAGTTGTGACATGGTTCTTTCAAAGCTTATGTCCTGGGAGGGCACGCGCGCGATGCTGCAAAAAGCCATTGATGGTGACAAGGCTTGGGTGTTCCTAAACTTGATTCTCTCAAGCTTTAAGATTTACCTACATGCATACACACATTTTCACCTTGCAACGTTTCATTTTGATGGTCAGTTTGCCAGGTCGAGCGATCCCTGATCGATGCCTGTGATTCAGCCCGTTTGGATCTTTCAGTTGCCATCGAGCCCCTCAAGGCGAAAAAATCCAAAAAGGCTTAGTTGGATTTTGTGATGTCATGATGGCGCCAAAAAAAAACAAAGTGAATACATTTCTGTTGGATTCAACAATTGCACTTGCAATGAAACTAATGATACTTAGATCTGGTTTTTAAATTTGATGAGAATGCTGACTCAAAAAGGGGGTCAGACAATGGTGCCAAAACGCGCATTGCGGGCTTGTCAATGGTCCACCAGTGACCAGGGGTGACAGCATGGGGCCGACTGTGCGTTCAATCTCCAAGCTAGTCCAAACTTCTTTCGCAAACGGCTGTGGGGCAATGTGATGTGATCACATCATACCTGTGTATGTTGTGTGCGCAGTGGAGCTTCTAAACACTTTGAAGTGTCTCAGCAGCGGTTGGTGAGCATCAGGCACAGCTGTGCGACTACGCATGGCATATCGTTGACAAAGGGCGCAGTGCTTTCAAAATGCACGCATGCATTCTCTTAAGATCTTGTGAGAGTTCATGCAAAAACAAAGTTTTAACAAACATCTGTAACATGCATGCATCCACGCAGGTCGCTCGGAGTTGGGGGCCTTTGAAAAGGACATCAGTGAGAGGATTGCTTCTGGTGTATCTTGCAGGCATTGTTGTCTGTATAAAGGTCCTTTTGGGGTGGTGTGTCCTAGAATTTACAATGTGCTTGTGTGTGCACCGAGGATGCCAGTGCAAGATCTGTGATGAAATCAGCCAGGTCAACTTTTGAAGAAACTTGGTTTAAAGGGCTGGGAACAAAGAGAGTCCGACATGTACTATACTGTTGTTACTTTTGTCACAACGGAAATGTTCCCTTTGCATCCTGAGGAAGCACAAGGAAACACAACCGATTTCACAGCACGATTGGCCAGATATGCCACTGGTAATGATGCTCGAGATTACTACCGCAACAACGCGCTTCCGGTTGAAACTTGTTTCAAAGTGAGCTCGTTCAAAGATCTACTTTTGATTTTCTCAACTATGGGATTGCCTGCTTGTTTGGTGTGTTGTTGGCTCGACCTTTTCTGAGCACTGATGTGAATAAGGTGCCAGTGTATGTGAAAGTGCCAATCAAGTTGGCCGACGAGTCTACGGGGGAAGAGCTCCTGCCAGTGCACCTTCCTTTTGACATTTTTTACTTCCTGTTCAATGAGTGCAATTTTCATGTTGAGCACAAGCTTATCAAGAATTTTTGGGAGCATTTGGAAAACGTTGGAGATACTTGGGCTTGTTCTACATCAAGGTTTCGAGCAATTCATGGGGGGCAAGTCTGGCCCTTGGGGTTCTATGGGGATGATGCTGTGATGGCCATCCAGAACAATCCACTAAACAGGATTCTTGGGCTGACAGTGAATTGCCCCTTGTTTAGACCACGTTCTACACGGCTGAGCAAGTACACGTTGTTCAGTATCGAAACAGACAAAATTGTATCCTACCACGAGACCATCTATCCAGTACTGGAGGAAATTGTCAGATCCTTCAACAAATTGACTGAAGAGGGAATCAATGGCAACCGGTTTCTTGTTGGTGAGATTCGAGGAGACCAAGTTTTTATCAAGGCACTGTTTCGGCATACTTCGTGGTGGAAGGCCACCAAAGTCTGTTTTCGGTGCAGGGCTACTGCGGGACCTGGACCCCTGAACTATTGCCTCTACGAGTCCAACAATGGCTGGACACAGACCTTACGCACTACAGATCAATTTGTGCTTGAAGAACTTCCTGATCAAAATGTATGTGACGGGGTTTTGTTGTGGAGCTATGTCAATGTTTTGTACTTTTACTGGGGTAGTATTGGTTTTATGATTATGTTCTGGATTATTTGTGCTCATTGCCAAGGTCCTCTGATAGACTTATACTTCTTCAACATCTCCTTGATTAAGCATTGCACGCTTCATATTGTCAACCTGTCCCTTCTTGGAATCTCCAACGGATCGGTGCTGCACCTCATTTTAATTGCCACACAGGTACAATTTTGTTTAGGTTCCCAACCAACTTCACAACATGGGAATATGTGGTTTTGCTTCGTGTTAGATCTCAGCCAAATTCTCAGGGGGATGCTGCTGGACATGGGGGTGTTTGGTGACACTGCTGGTGGCTATGTGGAACCGCTTGGAGAGGCATTCAAGGAGTTTTCAGCATGGAGAAGATCTATGAAGATCTCATGTTCCCAGAAAAGGTTTTCTGCAAAGTCCTTGGTCAGAGAGACCACATACGGATGGTTCTTGAACTGCAAGGGCTTCAACGCTAGAGTGGTCAGTGAATGGCTGATGTGCAAGCTCGTTGAAGTCAATCGACTTCCTGAATTTCAGGGTCTTGATCCTAGATCACAACTCTCCGAGAGTGCTTTGAAACTTGGTGGGGTTACAGAGGGATTGCCACTGGGTGGTGATATAGGTGGACTGTTTGCTTAATCCATATCCTTACCTGGCAGGGTACCTTTTACAGCACCCAGGAACTTTGAATGGGCGCAGAATTATTGGGGAAAGTAGGCTTCTATGACACGGTTAGGACCTGATCCATACATTTCCAAGAATTTTCCAAGCAAGGAAGTTTTTGCTCAAAATTCGACTGGTCTTTCTATGCAGTGTACAAAGCTCACAAATCTGTTGCCTATCGAGCCATGGCACCAGGGGGGGTGAGCAATGATGCGGATGAGTTTCATCCATTGGATGGATATACACTACAAATTGTGCTCTTTTCTATCCTAGTTGCAGCGATGATTTCCATGGGGATGCTGGTTTGGTGCGCGAACTTTGTGAGAAAGCATCTTGTGAAATGGACCTTCCATACTACAACACCGGCTGGCGTCAAAGAGGTTATGCAGAAAATATCAGATTTGGGAAACACGGAGAAGAGAGAGATTGTACGACAACTGATGACAAAAACCACGGAGTCTGAGGATTGTCTACTTCAAGAGATTAGTTCGCTGAGGGCAAAAGTGCAGACACTGAGTGAACAGAATGTACAGTTGCAAAAACAAATTTCTGTGATGGCCAAGTCACACGGTGGTGCTACACCAAGCACTTCTTTCAATGCTTCTGTTTATGTGACAAAAACCGGCAACCATTTTCATTTGGATCCATGTTGCCAACACTTGAGGCAAAGTAGTATTGAGAAAAAACCATGCCACCTCTGCGCATTGGACTCAAAATGAGGCAAGCTAGGAATGAAAAAAAAAAGAGCGCGTGGGGTTCAGGGAGTGTGCCTGGTGTGTGTGTGTGTGTTACTGAGGCGATTGACTCTTTTTTCTACTTCACAACAGGTATGAATGTTGCAGGTGTTCTTCTCTCAATTCATACGCCATTGTTAACAAAGGGCCAGAGTTTCTGAAAAAAGTATACTAATTTTTCTGAAGAATGAGGGTTTGAAGTTTCCAAAAACCTAGGGGCGGAAATTTCCCAAGAATAGAGCGAAAGAGTTCCCTCAAAATATATGATCCCTTTCAGCCCAGGAGAGCTATCAACAGATACTTTGGCCTGACAGAGCGTGCCTCGCGACACTTGTGCTTCGCCAGCACCATTGGCCGGGGCGGTGAAAGGAATTGGCAGTGTAAATTCATTAAATGATCCTCAATGAACATCCCCATTAAATCGTTTATGGCTTCATTCCAATTGAACATCACAATATAATGTATGTACCCTCACCTTCCATATATATGATATATATGATATATATATATATGTATGTATACCCTCACCTTCCAAGTACGAAGTCTAACTGGTCGGAAGATTTACGAACAATTGATAAACCCAACATTGTTGCTAAGGACGCTACATGAAGCAACACAAATTGAACGAGCTGGGCGAAACTATTTGCTGGCGTATCGGAGCCTGAATAGGATGAGCTCCTCTATGGGTGTTCTGGCTTGGGTGCTTACCCCAAAATGGCACGTATCTTGGTTTCACCTAAACTTTTTCTGACGATCGTTTTGCTCTTCACTGACTTGTGGTTTTGATCTACTTTGTTTTCTATTTTTGGGATTCCTTGGGTGATTTATGGTATATTATAAATTATAACCAATCCCAATCTCTTGTTCAAATCAGAACCCTTGGATCTGTTGGATTTACTACCTGCCTTTTGGATGAAATCTTTGGGTTTTCATTGGCCATGTTGAGGCTTTTGCGCACGTGCTCCAAGACGCAAAACGGCTTCAGCTCAATCCACGTTTCACCCATACTTTTGGTGATGAGGACTTTATGTCCCAACTAAAAAAGTGGGCCCGCAGAGGGCATGGCAGAAGAAGGGAACAGGTTATCTCACGGCTAAGCCGTATGAGGTTTAAGACCTTGCGTTGGAAGCTTGGTGAGCTCAAGAACCGAGTCAGATGAAAAACAAGAGTGTTCACACCAGTGAGATTCACACAAACATCCATGATCGGTGAAACTTCGTATTTGCTGGTAAAACTTCGAATCTACAGAAATGCTAAGTTAAATTTCGTATCTTAGTAAATACTAAGTTAAACTTCGTATTTGGAAGGTTAGGGTATATATATATATATATTAAATAACAAAAACAAATCTGATATCTTATCCGGATCGAGAGTTGGTATTCATGATGCCATCCTATCCAGAATGATAACAGGAGTCTAAGCCCCTGCAACGGTGATATATGGATGTCCCATCAGGCTGGGAATCACAATAAGATGCCCCAAGAAATTATCCAGATGCCAACGTTTGTCCTTTGTTCCTTCAATCGATTCCATTCTTTTATCCGCACTACCAGATGGAATTTGGCTGCACTTGAAAACATGTGGAAGAGAATTAGGCATTACACTGATACAGCTTCTTTTTTGTTGCAACTGATATGCTGCACACAGCAGATCTTCCAACCATCCATCCATCAAATGTTTGGAACTTATCCTTATCCTAGGTATATTTACAGAAACAATGGTTTCGTTTTGGGTCCAGCATTCCAATCTCCAAGTAATTCTACACTGCAAAGTCTCGTAGCTGACGCGTGATGCCGCCAAGTGATTTGCTCCCGGATGCAGGTCAGACTGGGTCGACGAGTGCTTCGACAGATATCAACCATGATCTCTATAGTACCCATCACTGATCTATATCTAAATCTAGGCTATAGATGGCTATAGTACATGACAGGTGTAATTATAGCAAATCTATATCATCATGTACAGTAAATCATAATAAATATATATATTATCTACATATCATGATTCATCCATAATCAACCCACCATGATCTCATGAAACAGTCATAAACAGTCGGCTCCTTCGTAACTGTGCGTGGCCAAGACGTGGTGGCTCCAGTTATGTTATCGAACGGAGCTTTTACCGAGCGAGAAAACGATGGTTTACCGGGCACCAACAAGGGAGGTTTGGAACACAACTGAAAAGCTATGGAAAATGGCCATTTCTAGTGGATTTACCCATTAAAAATGGTGATTTTCTATAGTTATGTTAAATTACCAAAAGCTATGGAAAAGGATCTGAAATGCCCCAAGGTCACTTTGAAGGCCAATTTTGCTAGAAAGAAACAATGAAAACGCTACCCCCGGCGCCACAGTAGGATCAGGGCGATGATGGGCGATGCAACACATTCATCATCCGCGTTCGCAGCAACAGCTGCAGTGGAATTGGACCAATCTGCGGACATTTTCCGACGCCGATTCCCGTACGCCAAGTGCAGAATGGCTCTCCCCATGTTGTGGGTATTGTTGAGGTGAGATCTCCAAAACGGACATCTGAAAAACCGGTACATCTGAAGTGCATTGGAGAATTATGTATATATCCGTGACATTCCATGACTATGTATATATCATATCCATATGATATATGATATATCCGTGATATATCCATGATAGTTATGGATATGTGTAAATGATTGGCCTGAGACATTACCAGATGGATTTGCTTTTAGTGGAGCTAAAATCCGATTTACATTCGAGACTTTGCTATGACCCGATTTTGAAAGCAATGTTGACAAATCAACGGATGGGATCCAGAAGGGAAAAGGATGAAAATGCATCAACTTTCGAAAACTCGCCCGGCGCAACCGGACCTTTGGCGATTGAAATGGAAACACGACGCCGTTTGGAGATGCTTCTGCTTTTGTGCTTCGTTTGCAGCAGCGTGTTGCTGCTACTGTTTCTTGCTGCTATTCTTGGCACTTGGGATCATCATGATGCTGCTGGTGGTGGTGGGTGGTTGTTGAGGTGAGTTGCGTTGTTGTTTTTTCGTTGGAGCTGGTGACGTGATGTTGTTCTGTGATCTTAAATCTTACGCTTGGCGGTCCCCTTGATGATTTGAACCACCACATCGGGTGTTTTGTGCAGCAACGATTGAAGGAAATCCACCCGTGAGTGGATTGGAAGCTGGTATAGATCTAGTGTGATCAAATACGTATGGGTCAGGTCCTCTTTTTTGTTTCAACACTTTTAAAGCCCCACAACATTCGTTTACTTTGTTCCAGCGCACTGTTTTTTGCAACTCTTTTTCTTGAAAGCGCACAACACAAGACTTGCCTCAAAAATATGTCAACAATCCTGCCAAACACTCCTATTCACAAGGTTTTTGCAAAGCGGACGCTGCTTTGCAACCTTTCAGCATCCCACCACAGCTGCATCCCCCATCGAATTCGAGACCCGGCGCAACATCCCACTTTGTGACTTTGTGCCCACCGAACGTTGCGCTAAGAAAACGTGCAGTGAACAACAAATTCTCATGTCATGCAGCAAGCGGATCCTGAGGGTGCTGTGCGTAAAATCTCATTCCAAAACAAGTTTCCTGAGCATGTTGAGACAAGTTGTCTCACGGGGATTCGATCAATTCTCCCAAATGTGAACCCTCAAGATTGCAGTCGATTGCTATATAATATGTTATTATAGTTAATGTATGTTAATGTATGTTTATGTACCAAAACGATCCCCAGCAAAAACATGATTGTTGGTGGTTAGGATTAACATAAGTTTCCTATTTCAGCATGTTTCAACCGTCTCCAAACGGCCAAGATGTGAATTCGAAAGCCTCAGCTGAAGCAACGCTTGTCCACCTCGGAATACATAAATTGGTGACATAATTTGTCACATATTTCCCTAGATTTTGCAGACAAGATGCATTGCTTTATCCGAACGAACCAACTGAATTTCAACTGATATTTCTGAGCGTTGTTTGCACATGCTCAGTAAGAACTGCGAGTCTTTCGGTCGACATATTTATAGTTTTAACATGTTTTAACTCCAGAAATCAGCTCGGTGCTGATCAAAGCGAGGTCAGAGAACGGGAGATGAATGAACATGATGGAAGTCCATGGAAGTCCGAGGTAGGTTCCGCCCTTCCTTTTGCATACTTTTGCAGTGTATCAAATAGCTTATAACTGAAAGTGATACTGTAAGTAAGTGATAGCGAAATGAAACATGTATGATGGCAAGGGCGCAAGTCGTGTGAAACATATACTATATATAATAGGTCTTACCCATGCGTTTGAACCGGAGTGAACATTTTAACATGGAAACTCAACCTTCGTTCAACCAAAAATCTCGAATAGAAGCGTGAAGCAAATCACAAACCACACCATCGATCAGAGTCCTACGCCGCGTCAAACCAACGTCCGAATGGAGAACCCAGAATCATCGCTTCGCACATTGCGGTCTACCCACAACAGCACGACCAGCAAATTCGAACGAGACAACCGTTACACCCAGTTTGGTTGAGGGAGGACGGCAGCACACCCTACGTATTTTCTGACGCCAATAACTATGTGCCGAAGAGTTGTAAACCACACTTCAACGACTTCACGCTCAGCAGTTCGGGGATCGCTTCGTAGAGCAACTCCGACTACTTGACGTCGCATTTGCGCTGTATATATGGCATCAAATTGAGCATATTGGCGGACGGCTACCACTATGAACGGGTTAGGCCCTCGTTTTGGAACGCGTTCAAAAGCGTCGCTTTGGAACGCGGTTTCAAGCATCGCTTTGGAACGCGCCTGATCATCACGATCTTCATCCCCGTCTAAGTCCATACATCTACATCATCATCATCATCATCATCGTCATCATGATCATCATGATCATCATGATCATCATCATCATCATCGTCATGTTTTTTCTTCTTATTCTTTGCCATCCTCCTCCTCATCATCGTCATCATCATAATCAGCATCATCATCATCATCATCATTCAACAGCCCTGTGTCTGCTGGCCAGCAGCAAAGATGATGAGGTTGCTGTGCCCGTGCGTGCGCAGGAACATGAACGCTATTGTCCCACCCCACCCCCACCCCACCCCCCACCACACCCACCCACCCACCCCCAACCCCACCACACCCCCACCCCACCCCACCCCACCCCACCCCACCCCACCCACCCCACCCCCTCCGCTAAAGATCATGTACAGAGGCAAGTGCATGCTTTCTGCAGGGACAACCAGAAAACGATGAGAGTGTGTTGCATGTGTGTGCACAGGAACATGAACGTTATTGTTTCACCCCACCTCACTCCACTCCACCCCTCCATTAACTGATCATGAAACAGCAGCGCCTGTGTCTGCAGGAGGGCAAGGAAGATGATGAGGTTGCTGTGCCCGTGTCTGCGCGGGAACATGAACGTTATTACCGCACCCCACCCCATCCCGCCCCACCCCACTGGAACATGAATGAGAGATGATCAGGGTGCGCAGATGGATGACATTTTGCTCTTGGGTGTGCAAGTGAGTGAGGGTGCTTATTTTGAGGAGGGTTTGCTTTCTAACGACGACAATTTTCATAGGAGACCTTTTTTTGGTCTTGGCCTCGCTTTGGAACGCGCCACGTTTCCAAAGTAGTGCGCCTGTCAGTAAATCTCATGCCTTTGTGGTTGGCAGTGTTTTGATGATGTGTATCATTTTCTGTTCCAATCAAAGGCTAAAAAAATGGTTGTGTTCCAAAGTGACGCTTCAGACAGTGTTCCACCATGATCATGCTACCCTATGAACGTGATACCATGAATTTTGTCGTCCCATCCTCCCTCCCTGTCCTCAAAAAAACCTGCCCCAGTCTCCCTGCTTTCCCTGTCCCCATGGGATCCTGGCACCTTTGCCCGCCGCAATCTGTTTACTGTTTATTTTGTAATTTATTCGTTTAAAGTTCAACGGACCATGGCCACGAACGTATTGCTCAGAGGGGCTGGTTTTTTGGATCCCTCATGAAAATTTGAAAAAAAATTCTGCTCAAAAATTGGCCGAAGAAAGTGGCAGTTGTGATCGCTCATGAAGATAAACTGAAGTTAGGATCCTGTTCAATATGTTGGCCAGGGGGGTGGGAATTTTGACCCCTTATGGAAATAAGATTGGGTTCCTATGCCCACGCATGTCTTGCTGAGAGGGTGTGGCAGT